GTAAACATGATAGTCTCTTACTGTGGTAATGGAGTCGGGGAGAGATGCATTGAGCCATGTTTCACAGACAAATATAATGTCGAAGTTAGCCATATTTAGAAGGAAGAGAAATTCAGGTATTTTATTCACGAGGCTTCTTGCATTGAGTAGTTTGCATTTAAGGCCGGCAGTAGTTTATGGAAGGAAAGGTTAATCCTCCCAGTGCACTATAATCCCAATGAAATTTCTATCCAATTTAAATAACAGCAACATGCTATTAATTGGTCCTCTGTGTTTATTAGATGTAATCAAAGACCTGATTTTTATCTTCCATTGCACTAGTCTCCATTAGTGAAGATTTACATCCAGTCCACGTCCTTCTGTCATGTATCTCTTGAACTTACCCAACTCCATTTTCAAACTGAATTATTTTCCCTCCTATACTTCAGCTGCCTGGGAACATCAAGGTTCAGAGATACAAGCTGAATGCACTGAGGGAAAATGTTTTGTGTTCATTTCTCTATACCCGGGTCCTCAAACTTTTTAAATGGGATCAATTCATGGTCCCTCAGACAGTTGGGAGGCCTGAACTGGCTGGGTGGGTGTGGCCAAGTGGTCAGGACTGGGTGAGTGTGGCCAATTTAGCAGTCCATTTTGCCAATTTAGCAGTCCATTAAATAATACACACAAACTAAAACTTTAATTTGTTTTGCCCCTGGAGGTGTTTTATTTGCTTTTGTTTGCATGTTGCTCTTTTGGTTGACTTCTTTTTACTAGATAATTTTAAGTTGTTTAGGAGTCTAGTGGTCCACTTCAGGAAACTGTTTTGCAGCAACCCATTTTTGGCTCCAGTACCTCTCTGCTGTCCAAAAACAGGTATTTCCGGAAATACCGGAAGTAACTAAATGGGCCCATTTTTCGGCCTCCAAAGGCTGCAGAGCTTCCCTTGAGCCCCCAGGAGGGTGAAAAGTTTCCCCTGGGCTCCAGAGGCACTCCGGAGACTGAAAATGGGCATTTCCGGTATTTCCAGAAGACCCGTTTTTTGGCCTCCCGAGGCTGCAGAGGCTTCCCTCGAGCCTCTGGGGGGCCAAAAACAGCCTCAAACGGGCTGAAAATCAGCTGGGATGCATGCCCATGCACAGTGCAGTTAAGTTGGGGCTGGGGCTTGTGTGCCCGCACAAATGGCTCTGTGCCACGCATGCCATAGGTTCGCCATCACGGCTTTACTTGGTTTATGAATGCAAAGAGAAAGAAAAATATACAAACACACATGCACAGTTTGTCATTTTGGTTCAGTAACTCAGCATGCAGTCTCAAAATGTGAAACATGATGTGTGGTCTGGAGTTTTGAGTCACTGATAGCAACAATTATCACAATATTTTTCCTATAAATGCCTTAGGAAAACATTTATTCGCATTTATTTAAATCTTATCTAAATGTTGTTACCTACTTCAACTTCTGTTATTTATTTGATTTATATAGCTACTAATTTAGATAGCTTATCATTATATATCTTTTTCATATTTTTAATGATGTCATTTTGTATCACTTTTAATTGTTTGTAAAATTATCTGGATGATATCTAAAGATCATTATTTTAAATCAGTATTTCCAAAGAAACGCATTCGTTGTGTGTGAATCCGGTCTGATTTAAAACCTTCTTAGTGCTGCAGTGAAGCTGCCTACATGACTCTTGAGGAGGCAATGTGTTCGTCTTAATTTGAAGGTTGCACATTTTACCATTATATCTTATTTTATTCAATATGCATATTTGCTTTTAAAAGTAACTGGGTAAATGTTTTATGTATTTTTATCTGCATTAAAGCTAACATACAGATTTTTAATAGTACATACAGTTTTGGAAGTGCTTTTTTACTAATATTGAATGCATTTATCATGTTAAACCACTTAACATTTTAAAAAATCTTTATTTCAACATATAAATTACACATATATATTTGGAAAGGCTAAATTGGATAAGTTCTCATAAAAATACAAATTTAAAGTTTAGAAAGCAATTTCTAAACTTTAACATTTTATATATATTTTCACAGATTCATTAGATTTTGAAGCATATTATTAGGCTGCTGAATGAGTAGACAAAAATATTTGATTTACATTTGACATTAACGATTTAGAAAACAAAAACCTGAAAATTCAGCAACAGGTTCAGTTTGTGATGATAAACTCATCTGCATTATTTTCTTGCTCTTGACTTATTAATAATTGTCAATAAGTGAAATTGCTCTCTAAATTACCCTTCAATAGTCGCAAGCTGAATAAACAGAAAAAAAGGCTGTTTAGGACAGTCGAAGGGATTATATTTTAAAAATGGGAACTGAAAACTACCTAGAATAGTATGTTGTTTGAAGACATTTTATATAACTGGCAGGTAGACTGAAAATTATAGCAACTATACAGCAGAAACGAGGCAGGGAAGTTTCAATTCTAATTTCTACATATTTAAGATATTCCTGCTTCCAAAGAGTACAACAAAATATTTCTTAACTAAAAACACTGTTCAGGAAAGAATATTGATTCCTTCTGCACTGTCTTTTAATACTTATTAATAGAGTTAACATACTAATTAAGTAGCAAGATAAGATGGCTGGTGCAAATAGTGCTGTGGTTAGGGTTAGCATGTGCTGCACCTAGGTAATCTGGAAAGAATCTGGGACAAATTGGGCACTCCCAACTTCAATGGTTATCAGGGCTCTGCACATAACACCTTATGAAACTTCCCAAATGAAATCTTGGAATTGCACTGCAGTTGCTAAAGGCAGCTACACAATTCAGACCATTAACAAGTGGCTGGCTGGTGCTATGTGGGTGTAAAAGGGCTGAAGCACTTTCAAATTTCCTTTCAAATCTAAAGCTCCTCACATCAATCATAACCGTAATTATTATTATTGAAAAATCACAAAATAGATATGATTACAAAAGTGTCAATCTACTCGTCTCTAAGGGTATACACCATGGAATTATATTAACATACTGAGTTCAGTTTTTATTCTGGTTGATGTATGCTTTCAGCATGTGCATACAGTATGTGTAACCTTTATGTGCATTTTTATTTATTAGATTTGTTTGTTGCCCATCTTGTTTCAAAGGAACTCTGGGCAGCTTACACCATTAAAAGCATTAAATATGTCTAAAACAATAAAAATGGAATTTCAATCAAATATAAAATTATAGTTAAAAGATGGGAAGGAGAGAACAGGATGCACTGGGGGGAGGTTGTCTTCATTCAACCACCATCTCCATTGTGATGCCAGAACCAGATCTTTAGGCTCTTGCGGAAGATCAAAAGGGTGGGAGCCAATTGAGCTGCAGGGGCAGGACGTATGGCAGAGAAGACCCTCCTCCTGGACCCCATCAGCCAAAATCCCTTGACTTGAGGGCCCCCGCAGCGTGCATGTTCTGCCAGTATGGGTGGGATGAGCCAGTCCCAATGGGGCAAACAGTTCTTCAAATAACTTGGACCCATGTTATGCAGGGATTTAAAGGTAATAAACCAATACGTTGATTTGCATCCAAAAGCAAACCAGCAGTCAGTGTAGTTCATGGAGCAGTGGTGAAACATGGGCCAGCTTTGGAGCTCCAAGAACTGCCTTTGCTGCTGCATTCTGCACAAGTTGAAGCTTCCAAATGTTCTTCAAGCATAGCCCCATGTAGAGGACATTCAGTAGTCCAAACACTGAAATGCATTTCAAAATGTATTTATATTTTCTCTAATCTGTGAATCGAAAAGGATATTTAAAAGGCCCCACAAGCATGTTTCAGGGGCTTTTGGAATAAGGAAGCTATGCAACTGCAAATACCTTTTTCTGCAAGAAACAAACTAAATTTTAGGTAAGAATTGTTTGCATTAGGGCAATATTTTGTGAGGGTCATGTTTCATTTTATATCTTTGTTTTTAAATAAGGGTGCTGTTTTATTTCAGAAGATTTTAAGAAATAGTTTGCAGAGGAATATAGAAATGTTCAACTCTTTAAGGGAAGAAAAGCTGAAGACATTTAAAATGCAGAAGAAAGCAAAAAATCACGACCAATTACTATTTTCAAAGATCTTCTGAGAGTCACAAAATGAAGCCTTGGACCTATATATAATTTGGCTTAGCTATAATTGTGAATTGGATCCACATGAGAAAATAGGAAAATAAAGGGCTCTTTCTTATTCGGTTTAGTAGAGATTTATACTTTTAAAAACCAAATGGCACTCTACATTCAGGCAATATGCACACATACGGAATGCTCAAGAGTCAGCATTTCAGTACTCCTAAAGATTGCTGCGTTATTGAGGATTTTGACTGTGTGCCAATATTTTCTTCTCTTCTTGCTCCTAAATGTCATTAAGCAACTTGAAACCTTCTCCTAGAGAGAGATGGATTTTTCTGGAATGACCTGGCATGGAACTGCGCACCTGTAAGAATAAAAAAGAATCAGGCAATAGAGACTTAAGTAGATACAGTCCATTGCACCCAGAAAGTACAACCCCGATTTTTTTTTCAGAAGCTTACTTTCTAGTGTTAGTTCTGTGCTGAAGAGAAGGCTAGTTTAAACCAGGAAAGATAACCAGGTTCTGTAATTGTGTGCCCTTAATTCTAAGACTAGTTTAAACCAGGAAAGATAATCAGGTTCTGTAATTGTGTGCCCTTAATTCTTTCACCAAGTGTATTCTAGGTGGTACTTGTTTACCAATCACTCATTCAATGACTTCCACTATACTAAACAAGAAGTATTTATGACTGGTCCTCATGCACATAGCTTTCCCAGCAACCCCACAGTATGAATGTGATTCAGGTGCTTTGCAACCATGTTGCATTTACAACAGTTGCAGCATTTTGTAGTCACCTAATCACAATTGGCAACTTTTCCTGCCAATCCAACCTGAGATGGGCTTCCCAGGACCTTCCCATCTCCTACAAACCCCCACATCCCTTACCCATGAATCCTACCACTTCCTACTTAAAAGATATTCAATATTGCAAAACAATGGCATCTTTGTGTTTTTTCATCTTTCAACACATCGTCAGATTAGCCTATGGGAGTTTTGCAGTTCACTTATTCTTTTATTTGGAAAAACGTTTTCACTTCATATGCATCTCATTCATTGGCAAAAATATATTTGGACTAGAAGGTATTCTGACACGGTACTAGTTATGTTGCACAGATGGTCAGCTAAGTTTATAAGATTTTAAAATGGCAATAATTAGTTTGGGTCCAGAAAGAGGAGGAAAAATATTGCTTATTGTTGCTTTTCTTTGCATATAATCCCTAGAAGAATGATATTTTGGTCCAAGAGTTGTAGTATACAGAAAAACAGTCTGCCTGGCCTCAACAACCTACTTGAAAAAAAACCAACAGTATTTCCAGAATGCATGTAGGACACTAGTTCCTCTGGGTAGATGAAGTGGCTCTGCAAATATCTCAACTAATAGGATTAGAAAGGTTAAATCCAATACCAAATTAAAGCTGGAAGCATATTAGCAACCAAGACAGTATCTGTATCACAGGTCTAGTGTGTTCCTGGCACATAGTCCCGGATAATAAGTACATTATTTAATTGTTGCATTTTACACCAATTGTATGTCCAAATGGCCTTTAAAGGTAGCTCCACATAGAACACATTGTGGGTATTAAATCAGGATAGGAGATATAGCAATAGACTTATATACCACTCCATAGTGCTTTACAGCACATTCCGAGCGATTTACAAATGTAAGCATATTGCCTCCATCAATCTGGGTCCTCATTTTACCAACCTCAGAAGGATGAATGGCTGAGTCAACCTTGAGCCAGTCAGGATCAAACTCCTGGCTGTGGGTAGAGTTAGCCTTCTATACTCCATTCTAACCACTACAGTAAATATGTTTTCTGCTATAATCTGAATGGATATTGAGCTGATAAATTGATTAGCAGTTGACCATCACACTGTATTCCTCAAATATGTATCCTTCAACCCTAAAGAAATCCATTATTGTCAGCTTTTCTAAGTAGGAATTGGCAGGAATGGAATGTACTTCAATGACATTTCATTATTGCATCAGACACTTGAAAATCTATCAACTTTTTCCTCTGTTTCTCATATCACAATCAAGGCAAATTGTTTTGAATTTGGTTCTCATGTTTTCTACTTTCCCAGCCCTCAGATATCTGTTCAGTATTCTTTTTCCCCTTCTTCGAGTCAAACCCCCATTTAATCACAATCAGCAAAATATTTCGTTGACTTAGAACTCTCAAGTGCAACATTTCTCACTCAAGTTTTCAAGGAAGTAGTATCCCTGTCATTACCCACACATCTGAAAAAGGCTGACCTTTTCATTCAGGCTTTTGGCCAGCATATGAAATCAGGATTGCTTTGATCAGTTTAGAAGATGATCTACACAAGAACCAAATGTGGATTACAGAAACATTATTTTACTGAACTGCCAAGCAGGACTGGGCCTTTCGGTACTGTATTTACTGTCACAGGATTTTAATGGGAGATGACTTTTCACTTTGAAATGCTTGGTCTTCTGTGTTCTCTTCCTGCTGCCAGCATGTTAAATATAATAATTTTGAAATCACTCATTCCTATAATCCTAAAGCATCTAGTCCTATACTCACTTTTGAAAAATATACTTAATGAAACAGATCTTACCTGTTACTATCCCTTGGCCCGTCCACAACTGATTAGCAAGATCCATAGAAGTTACTGACCTTTTCTGAGGTGTATCTGACTGAAAAAGATATATGGTGCTTTAAATTAGTAATATGCTTTGCTTCTTTTGATAATTAGATATTAGATTAGAAGCAAGGAGATCCAAGGTCTTGTCCTACCTTAGTCACAGAACACATCACTCACTCACAGACCTAATTAGAATCTGGCTCTGTGATAAATCAACTGATAAACAAACCCCTTGTTTCATCATGCTTTGATAGCTTCATTGTAAAAACAATACTTGGGAAGCTCTGGTCACAGTCATTCATGTCCTGGTCGCCTTCTGGATGGATTACTATGGGATATACTATGGTACTTAGGGCTGTCCTTGAAGAGTGTCTAGAAGCTTCAGCTGGTGCAAAATGTAATAGCATGGCAATTATGTGTGCCCCAGAAAAGTACACATACTACTGCTTTGCAAGTTGACTGTCACTGAATACAACTCAGGGATTATGGTTTATCATAAACCATGATCAATCTCAAGTCATGGTTATTTATAATCAATCTAGTTCGTTAATATACTGTGAACAGTTTATAAACTGTAATTACTGATTAATAAAAGATGACAAATTAAGATTAAGAGACAATTAAATGAGTAACTGACAAGTTCCAGACATATCTGTGAGAATAGCACATTTGTTACCTCACTCATTGCAACTTTTTTTTTTTTTTTTTTGATGGAGGAGGCAATCGTTTGCCTTCAAGTCAGTGTTGACTTCTGGCAATTGCCTGGACAAGTCCCTGTAGTTTTCTTGGTAGGGTTTTACCATTGTCTGCTTCCTGGGACTAAGACAGAATGACTGGTCCAACCTGGCTTTGTGCCTAAAATGAGGCTAGAACTCACAGTCTCCCAGTTTCTAGCCTGATGCCATAACTGCCAAATTGACTCTCATCCCATTTTTACAAACTTTCAAACCTACCCGGAATGTATGAGTTGTGTTGGGCCTTGAAAACTGATCTATTAAGACAGTTCGCTCTCTATGAGGTCGTCGTTCCAGACCATGAGGTACTGCACTGGATATTCTGCTGTGAAGATGTTTTCCTCTATGCTGAAAATGGAAAGGCAAAAGAAGCAACCAGTTACTGAGTAGAAAAATTCTAAAATGTTATTAGCAGTTGAAGTAAATACAATTATTGTAACTGGGGCTGTGACATTATGTAACATCTGTACATCTCTTTCCTTGAGAGCTTAAGGTATAGATATGTCTGTACAGGTAGACTCAACCACAATTGGGAGCAGAATCTGCATTGCTAAGCAAGGTGATTCTCAAATGAGTTATGCCTGATTTTATCTTTTTTGTGACAGTTGTCAAGTGAATCATGCAGTTGTTAGGCAAACCAACTTCTCCCATTGACTTTGCTTGTTGGAAGCCAGCTGGGAAGGTCACAAATGATGATCACATGACCCCAGGACACTGCAACACACTGCCAAACATCTAAGTTTGAACATGGGGAGGCTGCTACAGTTGTAAATGTGAGGATCAGTTGTTACTTTTTTCAACTTTGATTGGTTGCTAAATGAATAATTGTTAGTTGAGGACCTCCGATATAACATTCTGATAGATTCTATATACAGTATCCCTTCCTGCAATACTGCTGTGCACCAGAGCTCAAATAGTTCTGAAAGCTAACGTGCTATATATTGTAAAACTGCCGATTGATGAACAAAATTCCCAAGAGAGGATTTGAACTTCATAAGAGTAAAGTCTGGTTTTTTTATATTATCATGAGGATGAAGCTGGTCATATCCTGCTGCCTGGTGGTCAATGCAACTGTTTTTCAACTGACTTTTTATTGTCTCCTCACAAATGACTAATTTTTCAACCAGCCTCTGAGCACCTAGGCAAGCAGTTCTAAAATTACCTATTTAGACTTCTTCAAAGGAGCTTCAGATGAAGATAACATGTTTTAGCATGCTAAAGATAACATGTTTTAGCATGCTCAAGACTAGAAAATATTACCGTGTTTAAAGAATGCTATAAATTCCAAAGGCTGTGTAAGTGGAGCATACTAAATTTATGATCATTTTTTTTTCAAAAATATGGAATTGCCATGCATGGGAAGGACTTCTCACTGTTTTAATGAGAACATTAATAGGGTTTTTCTTGCCAATGGGATAGTGTCACAAATACAGTTAAAATGGAACTATTTGGAGTTGAATAATGTACCCAGTTTTACCACCCTTTGCTAACACAAACTTCTTTAATGTACTTCCAACTGCAGCTCCAAGTCTTGTCCTTTATACCTTCTCTATCAGAAAACCAGACTAGAAAGGGAACTCTGATCCCACAGGCTGCATTTTGTCTAGATTTGCAGTTCATGTGATTAAAATATTTATTTATTTTATTTATTTATTTGATTTGCCAATTGTTTACAAGATAATAAGTATAAGTGTATACATAGTTGTGAATACATGAAATGCATACATATAAGAAAAATAAAAGAAGAATAAGAGAAACAATAGGACAGGGACGGTAGGCACGTTGGTGCGCTTATGCACGCCCC